GAAGCTCCCTATGGGGCCACGAACCGTGTGAGGGGTGCGCCAAACTGGCGCGGGGCCGCCATGCGAACCCTGCCACTGGGGCCTTCGGTGGAGCTGCTTGTTGGGCCACGACCCGTGTGAGGGGTGGGCCAAAATGGCGCGGGGCCGCCATGCGAACCCTGCCACTGGGGTCTTCGGTGGAGCTGCTTGTGGGGCCACGAACCGTGTGAAGGGTGCGCCAGAATGGCGCGGGGCCGCCATGCGAACCCTGCCATTGGGGCCTTCGGTGGAGCTCCCTATGGGGCCACGAACCGTGTGAGGGGTGCGCCAAAATGGGGCGGGGCCGCCATGCGAACCCTGCCACTGGGGCCTTCGGTGGAGCTCCCTATGGGGCCACGAACCGTGTGAGGGGTGCGCCAAAATGCGGGGCCGCCATGCGAACCCTGCCACTGGGGCCTTCGGTGGAGCTCCCTATGGGGCCACGAACCGTGTGAGGGGTGCGCCAAAATGGCGCGGGGCCGCCATGCGAACCCTGCCACTGGGGCCTTCGGTGAAGCTCCCTATGGGGCCACGAACCGAGTGAGGGGTGCGCCAAACTGGCGCGGGGCCGCCATGCGAACCCTGCCACTGGGGCCTTCGGTGGAGCTCCCTATGGGGCCACGATCCGTGTGAGGGGTGCGCCAAAATGGCGCTGGGCCGCCATGCGAACCCTGACACTGGGGCCTTCGGTGATCTCCCGATGGGGCCAATATCCTCGTGAGGGGTGTGCCGAAATGGCCCGAGGCCGCTGAAGAGAGGGGGGGGAGGAGGAGCGGGAGCGGCGGGAACGCGGGGCACCGTCTCTTCAAAACGAGGACCCAACCCCACAGGATGGTTGGGAAAAAACATTTATTTTTCACGATTCACGTCCGCAGGTTGATATCAGAAACCATCGCACACATCAGCGGCCCTGGGACTACTGACTATGCGGACACAGACTTCATAAACATGCTGATGTTCGAACACGACGACCTGGTGACTTACGTCGCGGCGTCCCTCAACTGATACATGCGCTACGATGCCCACCAGCACGACCATTCGCGCCCACCAGCAGACCGTCTTAAGTCACTTCATCAACCACAAGTTGACCGCGATGATCGCATACCTGATCGCTGACGACCGCACGGGCCGACCGACGCCAGTAGCAGCTGGTCAAGGGCGGCGCGACCTGCACACGCACACACGCATCAAGCTGGGGATACGCTACAACCCAACTTCAGAGGCGACTCCATTCGTGATCTCTCTTTTCCAGAGGGGAGCTGCCCACACGGCCATCACCATGATCAACGACCTGATCGGGGCCCAGGGAGCCGCCCCACCTGGCAACATCGCTGGGCAGCCTACGACCCACGGCGGAGGCGGCAGCGGGGGACCACCGGATGAGGGATACGCCACGGACAATAGCCACACCCCAGGAGAATCGAGCACCCTGACACATAATGACAGCGCCGCAGAGTCCACGCACTCCGGCCCAACACCCTCAGGCTCAGCGTCGCAGAAGCGAGACTTCTCCCAAGTCGCCGACGCCCTCAGCAGGGACCTCTTCCACTTCTCTCCCCGGCGCCTGGTCGGGGAGAAACACTCGTGACTGGCGACCGCCACCGACTCTGCGCAGGGGATGCCTGCGCCAACCCGCATCATGATTGCCAGCGGCAGCATCCAGACAACGGGCAACGACATCGACGACACGAGACGGCCACCGCAAACAACCTGTTCCAATGCGATCCACGACTGCATCGAAGACGTGGCCTTCCTCGGGTGCGACGACCTGGACTACGCTGCCAAGCAGGCCATCGACGCCGCCAAGACCATGCACACTGGTCTAAACCTGACGCCACCTCAACAGCTGCTAAGCGACACCGCCAGCCCAACCGTGGGCACCATGGCCGCCCTGCGCGCGCGTCTACAAGCCGGAGCAGCCGACCACCCTGGTGAATCAGGAGACCCCCCCTTGATCATCCACAACCAGTGAGGCGCGCGCCTCAGGATGGGACGGCGGCCGGACGGCGGCCCGCCTCCCGCATTTGTGTTCAGTGTTGCTCCTTGCAGACAGCAGACGCCGCCAGCGGCTAGCTGCTCCTTTCCACATACATATCTCGGTACTACCCTCAACCCACGCAGCCGCGCTCACGGGGCATGCCGCACCAGCGGCAGCAACGGCTGGCTGCGGCGACTGCCTGCTCTCGGCGACTCACACCTGACCACCCCCTGGCGAGGGCGTGTCCCCGCCGCTACGAACAGGTCCCTGCCACCACGCAGCGCATGACGCACGGCGAGCACGAAGGCTATGGTATGCAGTGGGTCCATGGCAGGGCCCCAGAGCCCGCCGTGGGATTCTCACCCGCGTATGCTACTTGACCGACGTGTCGCGAGCTACTTAACCGACCAGTGGATGGAGCTCTTTCATGCGCCCTTGTTGTGGGGGCCTCGATCGCCAGCTGCGAGCTGGGGTATCGTGGGTTGCTGAGCGAAGGGCATCCCTTCCAATGGCCCTGTGGGGGCCCTTGCCCAACCTCCACCACCCTTCTGTCGCGCCCCCTCGCAGCCCCCGCCCCCCCCCCAATATTTGCCCCGCTGTCCTTCGCCTGCCCGCTTGTTTGATGGAGGGGCGGGCGGGGTCCACTTGGGGGGGGTGGGCGTGCGTGCTCGCCGACGGCTGTCCTGTCGACGGCCAGGGCGGCCGCTGCCATTGCGACGCCTCGCGCCAGCCTCGCAGTCTACTTTTACATCTTTCCACGTTCTGGCTCTTCCCCCGCTAACCCTTTCCACGCGCTCTTCTGGCGGAGGGGTTGGCGAGTGGTCCCCATTGCCATTATTAGCACGAGCGGGGGTGGCGGGTGGGGCGGGCAACCGGCCAGCGTCCGTCCTGGCAGCCGGGGCGGCGGAGGCTACAGCTTGGCCTTGCGCCTCAACCATCGCGTCAGCAACGCCGCCTCGCTCGCCACCGCATCCGCTTCGCCCCAGCTTTGCTTTGGAAGGTCGCGCTTCCAGCGACGCTGGGGGAGGCGGGTACTCCGTGGGGGGGGGAAGGGCTCGAGCTTCTGGCTGTCCTGGCGTTGGCCAGCGCGGCTGCTGGCACAACTCGGCAGCCCGGCCACCGCCGCGGGTGCGCGTCGGCCTCCCCGCGCCCAGCGGAACCCCCGGGGGTGGCCACCCAGCCCTTCTCTCGGGACCTCCCCGCGCCTGCCTGCGCGCGGGGGTCCCCGACGCTGCACCGAGGGGGCGCTTGCTGCGGGGATTCCTGCGGGCAAGGAGGGGAGGCCCTCGCGCGCTCTGCCGCGCGAGGGCGGCCGAGCTGCCGCGGGTTCCCCGTGCCGCCCGACGGCCGGGGGAGCCACCGCCGCGGAGGGCTCCAACCTCCCCCCCCGCGCTCGGTGGAGCCCGCCCAGGCGGCCCCGAGTCCCACGTCCTGGGAGCCTTGCGCCTGCGCTGCAGCCGAGGGTTCCCGTCCTCCTCCTCCTCCTCCTCCTCCTCCTCCTCCTCCTCCTCCTCCTCCTCCTCCTCCTCCTCCTCCTCCTCCTCCTCCTCCTCCTCCTCCTCCTCCTCCTCCTCCTCCTCCTCCTCCTCCTCCTCCTCCTCCTCCTCCTCCTCCTCCTCCTCCTCCTCCTCCTCCTCCTCCTCCGCCTCCTCCTCCTCCTCCTCCTCCTCCTCCTCCTCTCCCTCCCCCCCCCTGCCCAGGCGCCTGCTCTGCAGCCGAGGGTTCCCGTCGTTGGGGCCGGGGGGCGCCTGAGGGGGGCTCTCTTGCGAGCGGTGGCGGAGGCCTTGGCGCCTGCCACCCCGGCGAGCGTGGGCCCTCTGCCCCTCCCGCGCTGCCGCTGCGCAGCCACGCGCTGCCGCCGCGCTCCGCGCCGCCGCCGCGCTCCGCGCCGCCGCCGCCGCACTCCCCCTCCCTCTCCCCGTCTTGTTGAGGTTGCGGACTTTCTCTCCTCCTCTCCTTCTCTCCTCGCGTTTTGCTGTCTTTTCCCCGTGTGCCTTGCATGCTATAACCCGCGGGCTGGCGACGCAATTGCCTGGCTCGCTGGTTTGATCAACCCTCAGGGCCGATGGGGGGGGCAACGTCTGACACACTCTTCTCTGCCTTCGGGCTCTCAGGACTCGGCGCGGACTCGGGACCAGAGAGGATCGAGGAGGACGATGGGTGGCCATTGGGGGCGTCGAGAGTGAGCGTGGTGGAGCACGCGAAACCGAGGAGCCGGGGCAGGCCGACGGGCGACGGGCGACGACGGCGGCGGTGGCGGCCAAGCCGCGCCCGCTGCGCAGCACCCGCTGCGCGGCGCCTGCGCGGCACGCGCCCGCCGCGCAGCACCCGCCCGCGCGGCCGGGCCCGGCGCCGCGGCCGCTGCGGCCCCCGCCGCCACTGCTGGCCGACGGCGCGCGCCTTGGCCGCCTCGCGGGGGCGGCCCGCGGCAGGCGTCGGCGGCGGCCCCGCGGCGCGGCCGGCAGTTGCGTCGGAGCTGGGTGCCCGTACTCCAGAGGAGGGCGAACCGAGACGTTGGTCCGTTGGCCTTCGTGGGGGCCCCTCGTCGTCGTCGTCGTCGTCGTCGTCGTCGTCGTCGTTGTCGTCGCCGTGGCCGTGGCCGTCGCCGTCGCCGTGGCCGTCGCCGTCGCCGTCGCTGCCGCAGTCGCAGTCGCAGTCGCAGTCGCTGGCGACGGCGACTGCGCTGGCGCTGGCGCTGGCGCTGGCGCTGGCGCTGGCGCTGGCGCCGTCGTCCATCGTCCGTCGGAGGTCGAGGGTCGACCGTCGAGGGTCGGACCGATTGTTTTACCCTCTTGGCAATAACGCGCGTGATGCACCCCCCTGTTCCCCCCCATACCGTGCCCCCCCAGTGCGTCCCCAGCACCGCCGCAGTGCGTTCGTTTGGCCTTCGGGTGGGCCCTTCGTCACCACGGCTGGGCGCAGTTCGGGAAGCCAGTGCGTCTGGACCCCATGCGGGGTCCGGGGACCGACTCCGGGCTGCCGCCTCAGTTCGCCCTGCTCCGAGCACCATCGCCCGCGTTGCCACGACGAGCGGCGAGGCGGCCTCCAGGCGCCGCGGGGTCGGGGCGAGGAGGCTGCCCGAGTCCGTGGGCGCGCTGCTGGGGCACGTGCAGGAGCGGGCGCTGGCCGCGCCCTGCGAGCGCGTGGCCGCGCGCCTCGTGCGGCTCCTGCGCGCCCTCGCGCCGCGCGTCACGGACGACGGCGAGGAGCCCGAGGTGACGCCGGCGCCGGTCGTAAGTCGTCTTGCTTGTTTCGGTCGTCGGTCCTCGGTCGTCGGTCTTCGTCGTCGCCGTCGTCGAGGGTCGTCGTCGTCGTCGTCGTCGTCGTCGTCGTCGTCGTCGTCGTCGTCGTCGTCGTCGTCATCGTCGTGGTCGTCGGCGTCGTCGTCGTCGTCGTCGTCGTCGTCGTCGTCGTCGTCGTGGTCGTCGTGGTCGTCCGTCGAGGTTCGAATGTCGAGGGTCGAGCGTCGATGTTTTTGGTCTGGCCCTTCCTGGGCCCGCGGGGCCTCATTGACCTTCCTGGGGGCCGCCCGAGACTCCGTGGGGATGGGGGGTCGGCGACGTCGTCGTCGCATTCATCCCGCAGTCGTCGCGGCCGCCATCGCCGTTGCCGCCGTTCCAGCGTCGCCGCTTGTGTTTGAGGCTGGAAGTGTGTACGGGGTGCCCTCCTCGTCACAGCTGGACCCGCCTCGAAACTCGGGTCACACTGCGCACCTGGAAGGGCCCGAGAGTCGGTCGGATCATTGCCTTGCTGGGTTGTCGCCGCCGCCGCTCCCGCCGTTGCCGCCGCCGCTGCCGCGGCCGCCGCCGCCGCGATTTCGTCGTCGTCGTCGTCGTCGTCGCCTTCCATCTGGGTGATTACCGTCGCCGTCGTCGTTGTCGTCGACCTCGCCGTCCTGGTCCCCGTCGAGGAGGTTGGGGGTTCCTGTCCATTCCAGTTTTTTGGTTGTTGGCCTCGAACGCCCTGGGCCCAGCACTCGGGATGTGGCGATCGAATTCGGCTCTACCATACGGCCTTGCAGCTCGCTTCCCCAGGCCCTTGGTGCGCTATGGAAAGGTCGGTATTCACTTGCGCCCGTGAGGCGACCTCCACTACCATTGGCACTGGAGGTTCCTAAGGGGGGCACCGCACTCAGAAAGAAATGACGAAGTTTAAGTTGTATCTTTTTTTCGCTGCTTGCCAACGCCCATTCGGACGAGTAAGGGCGCGACGAGATTGTTGGCCAGCTGGGCAAGCCGCCGCAGCCTGCGGTAGCTCCCGCGGCATCCAGTCCAGTCTTATGCTGCTGAACTCGTGGCGGGGACGTGCGAACTCATCCCTATCGACATGGGGGGCCTGCAGCTTCGACGAGGATGCGAATTTCGGTCGGGAAGAAGAGGTGGAAGTGGAGCGCCACAAGCAAGAGCTCCAGCCCAGTGCAGTGATTCACGAAGGCAGCCGGCGACGCCCGACAGCTGCGCAGTGCACACCAGAGCCGCCGGGCCAGGCCGGGCAATCACCGCAAAACGGCGGAGGGAACGACAGCACCAGCGACCGACCTCGACCTCGACGACGACGACGACGACTAGGCCGACGACCTCGCTCGCGCCATGGCATGCGATGGGCTTGCGGCCATGGGCCGGAAGGGCTGGCTGGGGCCACCGACCCGGCCGCTGGCGGGGGCCCCGCAGGCGCGTGAGAGCCGGATCTGGCGGGCCGCCATGGTCAAGAAGGGTCTTTGCAGCGAGGCTGTTGCCAAGCGAGGGGGGCAGGGGACTTCGCTAAGTCGGGCGTGTCCCTCTACAGGAGATGTATTCAAAAATAGTTCAAATAGTCAGGGGACGATTTTTCGATGATTTTTTGTACATGTGTTTGTGTTGCTTTTTATTTTTCGTCCAAGTCCGCCTGCAGGAAGACGTGCCCGACCTAAGTCGAGGCTGTTGCCGAGCGAGGAGGGCAGGGGACTTCGCGGGCGCGCCGAGTGGTGTCGTCGTATGGCCTCGCCCTCGACGCAGACAAGAAAACGACGGGCCAGGAACGTGGACCGGGCGTTCGACGAGCCCAGTGCCATTGGCGCCGTCGCGTAGCTTTGCGGCGAGATCGACGGCGGGGGCAGGGCCATCGCAGTCATCTGCGGAGTTTGCGAGGGCAGCCTCTGACGTACCCGGGCCCTCAGCATCTCCGCCAAGCTTTGTTGGCATGGGGGGCACTTGGGACTGTGTCGCGCTATCTTTGCACTGCAGGGGGCTTCTCCACCGGAGCTGTCGGATGGCTTGCCGTTGACTTGAGCGCCGACGCGCGGTCGAGAGCGAGCCGCCACAACGCGAGTCGAGAGCCAGCTCGGCATGCCCCGCGCCCTCCTGCTCGAGGAAGCCGTGCTGGGCAACGCCGCGGGACGTGGGGCGCACCACCACTCCTCCTCCTCCTCCTCCTCCTCCTCCTCTTCCTCCTCCAACTCCTCCTTCCCTTCCCTCGTCCTCCTCCTCCTCCTCCTCCTCCTCCTCCGCCAACTCCTTCGCCAACTCCTTCTCCTTGTTCTCCTCCTCCTCCTCCTCCTCCTCCTCCTCCTCCTCCTCCTCCTCTCCTCCTCCTCCTCCTCCTCCTCCTCCTCCTCCTCTCCTCCCCCCTCCTCCTCCCCCCCTCCTCCTCCTCCTCCTCCTCCTTCCTCCTCCTCCTCCTCCTCCTCCTCCTCCTCCTCCTCCCCCTCCTCCTCCTCCTCCTCCTCCTCCTCCTCCTCCTCCTCCTCCTCCTCCTCCTCCTCCTCCTCCTCCTCCTCCTCCTCCTCCTCTGGGGAGCTGCCCTGGGTTCGGCAGTCCCTGCGGGGGGGGGGGGGGTCCTGGGCCCATCCGGCTGTCGTCGGCGCTGCCGCGCCACCCGGCGTCGGCGAGGCGGGCCTCCCAGAGACCCCCGAGCAGTTCTTGCGCGGGGTTTGGCCTGGAGTCCTCGCCTTAGGTTTAGGTCGGGCCTGTCCTCCTACAGGGGGATTTTCGACGAAAAATAAAAAATACCCCAGAAATGCCCCCCAAAGGTCAAAAAATACTAGAAAAATAATCCCCAGAGTATTTTGGATTATTTTTTGATCATTTTTGGGGTATGTTTTTTTTTCCGTCGAAAACCCCCCTGTAGGGGGACAGGCCCGACTTAACCTTAGGTCCGCGCTCCCGGGTGGCCGGGTCCCGACCTGCAATTCGCGCGTGTGCGCGGCGGGCTCAGATCCTCTCGGAGTTGGAGCGCGACCCATCTCGTGGCGGCTTTTGGTGGCCATCCACTTTTTTTTGTCGACCGATGCGGACGGAGGCGGCCATCCGGTCGGCCATCAGCGGCACCGTAACAACAGGTACTCAGTAACGGGTACTCTGGAATCTGCCAAAAAATACCCTTGTAGGGCCTCTTTCTGGCATGGCAGCGTTGCCCACATCGGGGAGTATTGGGCTCGCCGGGTCACTGGCCACAGTGTTCGTTAGTGGAGTCCCCGTTCAGAGGGGCGCTGAGGGCCAGACGGCAGTGTGTTTGGGTAAACAGCCCTGAGCGGCCCCTGTTCCCTCTCTCCTCCTTCGGCCGCCCTCCCTGTCTCCTTCCTTTTTCCCGCATGGTAGCACAATTCGCATCAACGGCATCCCAGTTGTCATTGCTCTTCCGTCAGCGCAGTTGCCCTGCCTAGCCGCCGACGTAAAACAAAACATTTTTTGTGTAAAAAGGCGACGTTCGGCCGCGACGGAGCGGCGTGCCCGCGCCGCGGTGCGTTTTTGCGTCGTGCCTTTGGGGGCGCTGCCTCGTTGCGGCGGCAGGAGGAACAGTCGAGAATCGTGACTAGTGAACAAAAAGTCGGGGGACGATCTTTGGACTCTTCTGGACTATCTCTGACCTGTTCTGACTGTTTTTGGTCTTTCTTCCAAAATCCGCTTGTATGGGGGACATGCCCGACCTGGCGCTACTCACCAGGAGACGCATCAAGCAGCCCCCTCCCCCGCCACCCTCCGCGTGTGAAGGGCCCAGGCGTCGCGGTGCTTGGGTCGGTTGTCACCGCCCGCCAAACTGCCCCAATCCAACCCGAAGGCCCCGATCTGCCCTCCATTTCCAGTGGGGGGGGTCGGGGAACACTGAGAAAACGCCGCTTTGCCCTGCATTTCCACTGGGGGGGGGTCCGGGGAACATGGGCAAGAAACACATGTGAAGCCCGTGCCCCCCCAACCCGAAATTCGGGTCTTCGGGTTGGGTTGGGGTGGTCTGGTAGGTAGTCAGGGGGGGGGGGGTAACATGTCTGGTGCGCGTTGTTGTGTGTACTTGTCTGTTTATACATGTTTTGGTGTTTTGCTTGTGCTTACTTTGTGATGATTGGCCTGTTTTGGGTTGCTTTGTGTCTGCCTGCTTGCTTGTTGTATTGGTGGGTGTTGCGTCAGGAAGCCAGATCTTTTCTTCGCCCCGTCTCTGGCCGCGAGGCCCGCTTGTGTTGGCGGTGAGTGCGTTTATTGCAGGATTTGCAGGGGCTTCTTTGGGCTTGCTCCGTCACGAAGGCTGCGATCACCTCCTGTGTCCGGGATGCCTGGGCTGTCCAGGCCAACAAGGTCCCCTTGGCCAGCTCGGCAGCCGATCGCGGCCCCGCTCCTACTGCTGGCCAGGGCCCATTGGAGTTTCGACCTTGACTCGCTCGCGCCGAGTGGCGACTTCGGCAAGATCTGGTCGCGTGAACGTTTGTCCCAGATTATCCCCCTTTCGTTCGTGGCTCGACGTGCGACCGAGAAGAGGGGAGCAAACCAGCATGTGTGGCTTTTGCCCCCACTCTCGCAGATGCTTCCCGAACAGGGGGCCGGCTGCGGCCGCGCCCCGCAAGTCCGCCCTCGCAGTCGTGGTCGCCAGTGCTTGCTGGGCTCAGCATTGAGGTTTCTCGCGCGCGGCCCTGCGGTGCCGTGCTCTCGCGATCCGCGCGGAGAGGGCGGGGCGGGGCCCGGCGCCGTCGCAGACTCCTCCTCCTCCTTCTCCTCCTCCTCCTCCTCCCTCTTTCCTCCTCCTCCTCCTCCTCCTCCTCCTCCTCCTCCCTCCTCCTCCTCCTCCTCCTCCTCCTCCTCCTCCTCCTCCTCCGCCTCCTCCTCCTCCTGCTAGAGGCTTGAATGCTCAGCAGGCGTAGGCGAGGCTGACGAACTCATTCCGACGCTGGCCGCCTCCTCCTCCTCCTCCTCCCTCCTCCTCCTCCTCCTCCTCCTCCTCCTCCTCCTCCCCCTTCTCCTCCTCCTCCTCCTCCTCCTCCTCCTCCTCCTCCTCCTGCGGGGGAAGGGTCGGCGCGCGCGGTGGGTCGGGGGCGGCAAAGACGGGGGTGATGACTAGGGGGAGGTGGATATCATGGCGGGGGCCATGATATGTCCCCAGATTTCATGGCGCCTCTTCTTGTTTCATTACGTCCCTGGTCCCCCCGCTGGGCCGCGCACGTGCCGCCGGTCATGATTTGCACCCCCCCTCTTGGACACCCCCCTCGTGGCCGCTCCCGATTCGCCCCCGGATGGGTAAGCGCATCTTTTCGGGGGATTGCCACGGGGTTGCCAGGTCCGGGTGCAGGCCGCGGGCGTGGTCCACGATTCTCGTGTTGGATGGATGCTCCGGGGCGCTGGGGGTGATCGGCGTCGGAGCCCTGGAGCCTTCAGGATGAAGATCTGGCCCAGGACCCGCTTGCCTCAGGACCTGTTCCCCCATGCTAGCGCTAGCATGAGCAGGCTGCAAGCTAAATCGAGGCCGTGCACGGGCCGTGCACCCACCATGTACTTTCGGGGAAACGTGAGACTCGAGTAAGCCAGAACTCGGACTTGCCAGCGTTTTCTGGCGAGCGCGTCTTGGGTTTTGACGGTCCAGTTTTCGTGGGATGTTTGCAGCGGGAGGTGGCGTCTAATTTCAGATTGGTTGGGTCTCGTCATTTTTATGATGGCCTGTCAGGCCAACCCGCGCCCACCGTGCCCGAGTCGATGCCATTCTCTTTCTTGTTGGGCCATTGAACCACCTAACGCATATGCTTGCCGACTTCATCGCCGAGGTGGGCACGGCAAGATTATAATTACATCCAGACGCGACGAAGATTATGCACAACGGCCACTGGCCACCACTCAGCGCACGTACACCTGGCAGCGTGCGCGTGCTTGGCATGAAGATCTGGATCTTGCCGCCATGCCGCGGCGCGAGATACCTCGGACGGCAGCAGCAGCGCGCGGCGCCCCGCGCAACCGAAACCGAAAACCGCACCGCCGCGGCATGGCGGAAGTTTTATGTTTGAGGCAGGAACTTCACGGACCAACGTACTCGCAATCATATCGAATTCGTCTATTCCGAGAAACTGTCATGCCGAGTATTTTGTGCGGCTGCGAAGCTGGGGCGCTCGCGACCGACTTAACGAGCCGACTCTGGGGAACGCGGCGACAAATTCTTCGCGTGATTGTGCGAGCGCCGAGGCGCACCTGCACTGGCGCTATTATCAGAGCAGCGCAGCGACTTCTTGGGCTTCAGACCAGCAGCCGTCGCGACGACGACCACCAGCGCTTTGACGAGGACGACGACGGATGTTACGTGGAGCGCGTTCTGCTGCATACCACAACAATGAATCATGATGAAAGCAACGATGAAGTGGAAGGTGAGAATTCTTTACGCTTCGCGTATCCCCACCAGCCCATCTCACAACAGCAACTCTTGCGAAGCATGCCGACAGTCGTGTTTTTCAGGCGTGTGTCCGCTTGGCCCCGCATATCTCCCCTGTTCCTCCTTCCTCCCGCCTCCTTGTACATCCTCCTTGTGGGGGGAGCGGGAGAAGGACGAGGCGGAGGAGGAGGGAGAGAAAGCGCTCCTCGTGATTTGAGTCGTTTGGGGTTTCTCGTCCTGTGGGGGGCCTCTCGGGGGCCTCTTGGAGCCTCTTGGGGCCTCTTGGGGGCCTCTTGGGGGCCTCGTGGGGCCTCTTGGGGGCCTCTTGGAGTGGGGCCTCTGGGGGCCTCTTGGGGGCCTCTTGGGGGCCTCTTGGAGCCTCTTGGGGGCCTCTTGGGGGCCTCTTGGAGGCCTCTTGGGAGGCTCCGGGGGGCCTCTTGGGGCCATCTTGGGGCCTCTTGCGACCTCCTCAGAAGCGCAAAGGAGCGCTGCCCCCCTGAGAAGGACAAAATGAGGCCAAAACCTTCGTAAAATGAATGATTTTGCTATGAAGGAAGATGAGCGCGGCCCCCTCAGGAGGCCAAAATGGGGCCCAAACCGTAGTAAAATCAATGATTTTAGCTTGGAAGAAGAGGAGAGGGACCTATCTCGGCCCCCCGTCGGGGCCAGAATCCTCGTGAGGGTCGTCGTTTTTTAGCCCTCCCAGGAGTCGAAAAAGACCCCTCTGACCACCCGCGGGGGTCCCTCTCCAGGCCCAGGGGTAGGGGGTAGGGGGAGGGGTAAACCCCTCCCCGAAGGGGAAGAAGGGGGGTTGAGGACAGAGCGGGCTCTCTAAACCACTCACGCCCAAAGGGCTGGTGGGATTTGGAGCCGAGGATGGATTCAGCGGCAATGGTGGAAATGCGAATCGAGGACTGGGTTTCGAGAGTGCGGCAAAGGAAACGGCAATGGATGCGAAAGTTCAGTGCCACCAGAGAATAGGAATGGATGCGACAGTGAATTCGACGGACCCCACAACATGATCCAGTGTATGATGCGAAACGCAAGCTGGGAAGGTCGAGCGCCAGATGGATTGATGATATTATATGCCAAAGCATGTTGAGGACGCTTTGGGGTGTGATGACATGAGTATGGCTGTTATCCTCAGAATTGCATCGCGGGCTTCTTGGAGCGATATTGGTTCAGCGTTTACGCCGCTGCACATGTGAGCATGCAGCGCGAGTGATTTCATGTTTTCATGCGCTCCGGCGCCGCGCCCGCAGTGCCGTGGATGGTGCCCGTGCGCGGGGGTGTTCTGTCCTGTCCGGACCTGCCGATGGGTGCGGGACAGCGGGCCCGAGACCTCGTGGACTGCTGCGTTCGGGCGCCTCCCCGCACGGCGGCAACCGTTCCAGAGGTGCCCCTCTACGTTTAAATCGGGCCTGTCCCTCTACAGGGGGACTACTTGTTGAGTATTTTTTGACCATTTTGGAGTCTTTTTCGAGTTATTTTTCATTTTTCGTCGAAAATCCCCCTGCAGGGGGACACGCTCGACTTAACTCTACATGCGGCCGCCGTCGGCTGCTCGGGCAACCTCTCGGGGGCGGCCAGCTCGGCGTCAGCCATGTCCGACTGGCGCGCCGATGTCGGGGGCTGTTTGGAGGGGGTTGTCGCGATCAAGATGCCCTCCGCGTCGGCCTCGGATGCGGTGGAAGGCATGGCCACTGGACTCCGACGTTGTGGTGGCTCTGAGGCGGACCTGGGACGGCGGGAGGATGGTCCGTTCGCCTTGCTGCGGTCGAACCCCGCGTGGGCCTGGGTCGCTGGAAATCGGCCCGCTGGCCCGTTGGCGCGGAGTTCATGGGGGCGGGCATGCGGGATCTCCTGCGGCTCGAGCAGCTGGGACGCGTTGTGCTGGGCGCCGTCCCTGCCCCGCCTCTCCCCAGGCTGGCAGGGGGCGCGAGGGGGGCCCGGGCCAGGGGCCCGCCCTCCTCCTCCTCCTCCTCCTCCTCCTCCTCCTCCTCCTCCTCCTCCTCGTGGGGCGTGGCTGCAGCGTGGGCGCTCCCCCGAGCAAGGCGACGCCTCCGAAGTTGACCGAGGGGCGTCTCCTGCCGAGCCGTGCTGCGCGGCCCGTGGCGCGGCGGCCTGCGCTGGCTCGGGTCGAGGGGGTCTTCGGCGTGCGCGTCGGCCCGCGGGCTGGGCCCTCTGGGCGCCGCGCGCTCTGCCTGGGCAGGCTGCGGGCGGGGCCGTGTCCTTCCCGTCGGGGCCCGGGTGGGCCCACGGCGGCCCGCGAGGTGGCTCCGCCCCGGAAGTCGGGGCCGAGCAGGCTCCCATCTCCACCTCCCGGGCCTGGGCCGCCCGGGCCCCCCCAAGGCCCCCGCGCGCCGCCGCGGGAGGGGGGCGCGCGCGGGGCCCGCCGTCGACGGGGCGCGAGGCCTTGTCCCTGCGCGGCATCACGGCGGCGGAGGCGGTGGCTCGCTTTCCATCCCGCTCCCGGTCTTTTGCGTGCGAGCTGTGTCGGCCCCTCTTCGGGCTGCGGCGTTTCCCTTCGTCCTCCTCGCCAGATGGACAGCAGGCAAGCTCCCTACCCCAGCCCAACCCAAGCCAAGCCTCCGCCTCCACTTCTGCGTCCGTTCGCCTCGTCGTCGTCGTCCTCCTCCTCCTCCTCCTCATCCTTCTTCTCCTCCTCCTCATTCTACTCCTCCTTCTCCTCCTCCTTCTCCTCCTCCTCCATCTCATCCCCCTGTTCCGCCTTCTCCATCTCTTTCTCTTTCTCCTTCTCCTTCTCCTTCTCCTTCTCCTTCTCCTTCTCCTTCTCCTTCTCCTTCTCCTTCTCCTTCTCCTTTTCCTTTTCCTTCTCCTTCTCCTTCTCCTTCTCCTCCCTCCTCCTCCTGCTCCTCCTGCTCCTCCTCCACCTCCTCCTCCTCTTCCTTCTCGTCCTCCATCCTCCTCCTCCTCCTCCTCCTCCTCCTCCTCCTCCTCCTCCTCCTCCTCCTCCTCCTCCTCCTCCTCCTCTCCTCCCTCCTCCTCCTCCTCCTCCTCCTCCTCCTCCTCCTCTCCTCCTCCTCCTCCTCCTCCTCCTCCTCCTCCTCCTCCTCCTCCTCCTCCTCCTCCTCCTCTCCTCCTCCTCCTCCTCCTCCTCTCCCTTCTCCTACCACAGCTTTTCCCCCACGTCCCTTCCCTTCCCCATCGCTTCCTCCTTCTTTCTCTTCCGCCCCTCCGCAGGTGCTCGGCATCGACCTCAACGTCGTACGGCCGCTCTGCTCCGAGGGCGTGCCGGATGAGGTGCCCGCGCTGCGCGCGGCGCTGTGGAAGGCGGGGCCTTCGGGCGGCCTTCTGCGGCCTCTGGTGGCCATTGGCAGCCCTCGGCGGCGGCGGCGTTAGACGGCCTCGCGCCGTCTTCGGCGGCCCTCGGGGCTCCAGCGCGGCCT